GAGCCAAAGATGTTAGAATTGTGTCGATGTCCCAATATTTCTGGACCTGACTGTATTTCATTTGTTTTTTTCAAGCCTTTGTCACAGTGTACTTTTACAGTTACGTATGCTTGTGCCTTTAAGGAGGACAATTGTTTCACAGGGATGATGGAGGTGGTTGTGTTTCTTTTGCTATGTGACAGCACAAGGCCGTGCCTGGGCACCTTCTCCCTATTTTCTCTCTCTCTCGCTGATTCACACCAGCATAACAGCAGTGATGTCTGGCCACAAAAGTCATGTACCACAGCTTTTTATTTAAAAAAAACAAAAACAAAAAAACAAACCCAGCCCTAAAATCATTTTTTTCTTCATTTCTTGTGTCTCTAGCTAAGAGGCAATTATAGGTTAGTGTGAAATTCCAGAAATATTCTTCCAACACATGAGGAAAATGCCAGGAGAAAACTGGGTAATGCAATGAAGAACCAGGGAAAAGGTGGTAGATTTTTAGCCTGTGTAGCAATAGCTCTAAACTGGCATTGCTCTACTTAACCATTTAACTCTGTTAGCTTGGCTCAGGATCTATGCACTGGCTAGAATCCTTTCAAGATTTCCACTATTTCTTTCATTGCCTATATGACTCCAGCTGTTTTCCTTTTCCAGGTGGAAAGAGTTTTCTCGGTCGCTGCTCAGAAATTGTGGGTTTTCCTTTTTGGCAGCCCCCTGACCAGGCCAGCCCAGTTAGCACCAATCTCCTTTTTAGCCTGGCTACTCTCCAGCCATCTCTACTCCTGTTGGGGGCTTCTTTCAGCACAGCCCCCCCCCCCGTTTCCCAGCCAGAGAAGAGGCTCACTGTGATCAGCTCTTACAGGTGCATTGCCTTTGCTCCTAAAGGATCCTACTCCTACAGGAGTTGGTAAAGAAGCCCCAGGGTACCCTTAATTCCTGATAATTACATGAAGTAGTAGTTCACTTTGCAACTGTATGGAGATGATTTGCCATTACCATCTTCCAGCATGGTTTTTGATTTCCCAGAGTAGCTTACAGATACAGGGTTCCTTGTGAGTGTCCTTGCTCCTGAACCAGACAAAGCAGATAAGGTGCCACTTGTTGAGGCAAGTAACATATATACAGTACCTTATTTCCAGGTACATACACACATTACTATGATTCATTAAATACAAATCAGGTATTCTACAGGGGTTCTTGTCTTCATGGAAATATTATTGTAGTGGGAAAGCTGGTAGAAAAACGTCTTAACATTCTTTCTTTTCTGACACCTGCTTAAAAATAATCCCGACCTAAACTCCCAACAGCCTCAGCTAGAAGGATTATATGCTGGCTAGTTGGAGTATAGGAATAGCTAGATTACCACAGTTCTCCATTTCTCACGGAGTGAAGCATACACATAAGGACTGTGTATGGATTAATAACTTAGGGAATGCTGCACATTTACTGAAGTATAAATCTATGGGATGGAATCATATTTAAATATTCCTTAAGTCCTTAGCGTTGGGGTATAAAAACCCTGTAGGTGTGGAAAAATTTGTTTTAGAACAAGATGAAGCTGATACTATTTGATTTTTAAATCTTCAAGTTTGGCTTCTTGTTAATTTCTCATATTTTTGTAAATTCCCTTAATTCATCTATTCCTCTTATGTGATAAATTTATTTCTCACTCATAACCCTTTTCCCCATGCTCATTTTCAGTTTCTATGGAACTGTATCACTAAACACTTTTTCTTCAGTGTTTTGGTGGAGCATCTTGGTTTGCTGCTTGAAAGTTTAAGCAGTAAGCTCAGAATTTCTAGCCGTTAAGCATTTTCTCTCTTTGAACTCTTTATTTTTTCTGTTGTCATAGCATTTTGTGTTTTCACAGACTCAAATGTGTAGTTGCGGTATTTATGCCTAGAAACATCTAATTATATACATGCTTCATATGAATGAATCATAGAGTTGGATGTAGGCCATCAAGTTTAATCAGTGGATTGCAGGGTAAAAATCTAAATTGAGGCATCCTCAGCCATTGACTCTATAGCCTCTGCCTGAACATATTCAATGAAGGGGAGCCCACGAATTTCACAAGCATTCCCTTCACCTCTTTGCCCAGTTCATTAATATATGTGTTGAATAGTATCTCTTTCAGGACTGAATCTTGTGATACCCCACTTGCTACCTCTCTCCAGTTGGATGAGGAACCATTGACCTGCACTCTTTGACAATGATTTTTGGGTCAACTATGTATCCACTTATTTATGCAGCCCACATTTAAGTAGTTTGCTGATCAGAATGTCATGGAGTACTTTGTCAGCTGCTTTGTAAATAGTATATCCATTCTATCCATTCTTTCTCCACCCACAGATATTTTCTCAGGAAGTGAGTCTCTCCTAGTGAGGAAAAGCCAACAGTCTTTAGCTTGATTTGTAGTACGTTCTTCCGGTGTAATACTGGAAATAATAGTTCTGAAAGTTCATAAATCCAAAGTTCTTTATTGCAAGTACAGTATTGCTTTTTGTCACTGCTTGTTGTATACAACAACTACAGGTTGTTGTCAAAATAATGGGACAAGAATTGCTGATAATTGGAATTTTATAACTGTTACCTAATAAGCTATTTTTAAAATGAATTAATTTAGTGGAACTTTATGTCCTGGACACTAGGCAGCTTATACTGCAGTTCAACACAATATAGCAGAATTGTGCAATAAATAGAAATGTAAAAGAACCATAATTAATAGTTCGCTGCATAATTATATCCATCAGCTTTAATGTAAATCACCGGATGACACAATCACAGCTTGGTAGATAACTTCTGATCCCAGAAGCCTCTGCAGAAAGGTAGTGCTTAGCCACCCTCCTGAATATTAAAGGGTGGGGGCCATCCTGACTTGGGGGGGGCAAGCCATTCCAGAGAAGTGAAGATTGCTTTTGTCCCCACCAAGAATGGAGACCTGTAACATGAAACATCCTTTGTTAACATGGCTGGATGGTGTATTGGATAGTGTAGTAGATAAACTGCAGGATTTGCACGTGGAGAACAAATTGAAGTTTCTCAATCATGCAGTTAGTTTTGGTGGGCCAACTTAATTTATGGTAATTGTAGAAATAAATGGGATGAATTGTAAAGTATAACATGTGCTATTAATATTAAAATCTACTTTTTCTTTTTTACAGGCCTGTTCATTTTAAATATTGCACTAATATCTCACCTTACATTTATTGTACAAAAGATAGCTACATTTGGACAAAAGGATCAGAAAAAAGACAGGGCATAGTTCAGAGATCATTTGACTCCTGGTGTCTGTCTCCCAATAGAGGTGTTTCAGGACCTTGTTGGGTTACAGTACGGAACTGGCATTCTTCACCATCCAGAAATGATGACTCTGTAATAGAAAAATCATTGAAGTCTCTTAAGGACAAAAATAAGAAGTTAGAAGAAGGAGGGCCTATTTATAGTCCAACAGTAGAAGAAGCGGTAGTTAAAAAATCTATTGGACAGAGGATTATTGATGAAGTGAAGCATTACTATCATGGCTTCCGGTTGCTATGGATTGATTCAAAAATTGCTGCAAGGATGCTCTGGCAAATTCTTCATGGCAGTTCTTTAACCCGTCGGGAACGAAGACAGGTACTTTGTCCATGGTGTTCTTCTTGGGACTGAAATTCAAATAACATTCTTTAAATTAAGTAATACCTAACAAGTGTAGATACTTTGACTCTTAGTGATAGCGACACTAAATGTTCAGTTCTTGCATTGAATGAATGAAACATAAGAAGTAAAGAAATTAAAGAAACATATGGAGATACAGTGGTACCTCGGTTTACGAACTTAATTTGTTCTGTGACTCTGGTCGCACCCCGAATTGGTCGCAACCTGAAGGAAATTTCCCCATAAGGTTT